CTCCCATGCCCGCCTCCAGGACTTCTCCAGGGTGTCACCCATCCTCTGGAACTCCCTGCCCCAACCCATCAGATTATCACCTACTCTCCTCTCCTTTAGGCGCACCCTGAAAACCCATCTCTTCAGGGAAGCCTACCCCACCCCCTGCTAACTTGCCGACCTCCTCCACTCTTCCTACCACTCCATCCCCCACAGCTATCTCCTCCTGTGCCACCATCCCCTCCCTCCTAGATTGTAAGCTCGAAAGAGCTGGTGGAGGTGATTCAAGTACAGTTCTTAGGTAGAGGTGGGGTAGGCTTAACTGAAGAAGTGCGTTTTCAAAGATCGCCTAAAGGCAGACAGGGTGGGGGCTGACCGGACATGCTGTGGTAGGGAGTTCCAGAGGATGGGAGAGGCTCTGGAGAAGTCCTGGAGGCGAGCGTGGGAGGAGGTGATGAGGGAGCTAGAGAGGAAGATATCATGGGAGGAGCGGAGTGGGCGTTTTGGCCGATATCTGTGGATGAGGTCGGTGATGTAGCCAGGGGCAGTGTTGTGGATGGCTTTGTAGGCTGTGGTTAGTATTTTGAATTTTATACATTGGGTTATTGGAAGCCAGTGAAGGGTTTTCATATCCACTTACATCGACTCTTAATATGCATTACCAGCAAACGTTGCCTTGTGTGCCTTATGACACGCTGTAGGCTTCTGCCGTATTTAACCATCAGTTAGACACTTTTAATAACATACAGTTTTTAATACAAAATTACTATTGGTTAAGACGCAAGATAATCACAGTGTGGATTCAAAGAAAATGCCTGAAAAGGATGACAGGTTTATAATTAACTATGAGACGTGTGTGGTCTGTTCTCAGGTATGGTGCAGAAACAGTTTCCTTTCATGAAGTCTCAAAAAAGAAGTATTAGACAAAAACAACACTTGACCAAAAGGGACTTTTAAGGTGCCACATGATCCTTTCTAACCAGACTCAGAGATATGCTGATTCCACATAAAATCATACCTAACCACTTCCAGTCCGGACACTTTTACCCCCCTTCTTGTCCAGGCCAATTTTCAGCTTTCAGCGCTATCAAACTTTGAATGACAATTGCGCGGTCATGCAACATTGTATCCATATACATTTTTTAGCATTTTCTTGAGACAGATAAAGCTTTATTTTGGTGGTATTTATTCACCACTGGGATTTTTATTTTTTTTTTTTTGCTATGTAAATGAAAAAGTCCAAACATTTTGAAAAAAAAAAGTGTTTTTCTTATAAAATTTCGCAAATAAAAATAGTATTTCATCATAAATCTTGGTCAAAATGTATTCCGTTATCTTTTTAGTAAAAAAAAAAAAACCCAAATTCGTTTATAACCAAAAATTATTATTTTTAAACTTTTTTTTTACATTTTATTTTTATTTTTTATATTATTATTTATGTTTTTTTTTACATACTGTCACTCTAGCAGTACAGTGTCACCATGGTGACACTGTACTACTTGTGGGGGGTGAAAAAGATATTTTTTTTTACACTGATTGCTTTTACACCCATAAAGGCTGTAAAAGCAATAATTTCTCCTTCTCTCTAGCTGCATTCTTGCAGCCATTGAGAACTACTGTGTGAGCTGTGATTGGTCACAGCTTGTCACATAGTACAAGACTGTTGTGAATAGCCTTGTACCATGTGACCTCTGTGATCATTCACAGATTTCACAGGTAGTAAGCAATGATGTCAGAAGTCACTTATAATTGAGGGGATCTATTTTGCACATTGTTTTATTTTGATTTTTCTGTTAGTGATTAGCGCTACATTTTTTTCACATTTTAGAAGTGACATTTTGCTTACTACTCTGCATGTGATCACTGATTGGCCAATCAGTGATCACATGATCGGGACCTTGCACAGAGGTCCCATCCGACGATTGGTGTTCCACTGTGTCTGGAGGACACAGTGGGCACCGGATTGCGGTGCTGCGCGCTCCCAGGAAGCACGCACGAGCAGGGTGTGGGGAGGCCGCTTATAAAAGGCCACCCGACCCAGCACTGCCACCGTCTGACCGTTTATACACATGGGCCGGACGGGAAGTGGATAAAATGCATACTCCCAAAAGGAATAGAGAGACGAGGTATGGAATGCATATATTATGCACCCGCACAGGCTAACATTTGACCACCCACTGGAAATGATTAAGGGTCCTTTCAAACGGGCGTTCTGTATGTCCTTTTTTCATCTGTCCATTTATGGATGAAAAACAGGCACCCATGTATTTCTATGGACTAGCGGATGTAAACAGATGATCATCTGTTTACATCCATTAATGTTCGCATCCGTTTTTTTTACCGGAAGAAAACCCTATTTTTCTTCCAAAATAATTAAATAATTACCGCGCTCTAATACCAACAAAAAGTGCAAGGTGCTTATGAAATAAATATAAATATGAATAATTGATATAAAGTGACTGATGTAGATAAATAAATAAAAAAGTATAAAAATAAAGTAAATTAATACAATGATAACATACTAACAAATCACTATATGTGCAATCCTCATATAAATGTGCAAATGTTCCATTTGTAAACCACAGAAAAATTCATGATGAAATATATAAAAAAATATAATGTGAAAAAATGAATTTTTCTGTGGTTTACAAATGGAACATTTGCACATTTATATGAGGATTGCACATATAGTGATTTGTTAGTATGTTATCATTGTATTAATTTACTTTATTTTTATACTTTTTATTTATTTATCTACATCAGTCACTTTATATCAATTATTCATATTTATATTTATTTCATAAGCACCTTGCACTTTTTGTTGGTATTAGAGCGCGGTAATTATTTAATTATTTTGTTGATAAACGCACATCTTATGAGAGTGGGCATAACAACCAGCAACCTAATACTCATATTTTTAAGTATACCTCAGTGGCTTACAAGTTAATTCATTTTTTATTGACCTATTTTTCTTCCGTTAAAAAAAAAAAAAAAAAAAAACAGAACGGATGAAAAACGGATGTAAACTGACAAAAACCGGATGTAAGCGGACAAAAAAAAAAGGATGTAAACGGACAGAAAACGGATGTAAATGGATGAAAAACTAATGTGAACTGATGAAAAACTGATGTATACTGACAAAAAACGGATGTAAACTGACAAAAAACGGATGTAAGCGGACAAAAACCGGATGTAAACGGATGAAAAACGGATGTGAACTGATGAAAAACGGATGTAAACTGACAAAAAAAAACGGATGTAAGCGGACAAAAAAAACAGATGTAAAACGGATGAAAAACTGATGTGAACTGATGAAAAACGGATGTAAACTGACAAAAAACGGATGTAAGCGGACAAAAAACGGATGTAAACTGAGGACAAAAACCGGATGTAAACGGATGAAAAACGGATGTGAACTGATGAAAAACGGAAACTGACAAAAAAAAAATGGATGTAAGCGGACAAAAAACGATGTAAAACGGATGAAAAACTGATGTGAACTGATGAAAAACGGATGTAAACTGACAAAAAACGGATGTAAACTGACAGAAAAACGGATGTAAGCGGACAAAAAAATGGATGTAAACGAATGAAAAACTGATGTGAACTGATGAAAAACTGATGTGGACTGACCCGATGAAAAAAAAAAAAAAAACAGAACGCCCGTGTGAAAGTGGCCTAGTCTACAATTTTTAATCTTTCAAAATATGATGAAAGTCACAGATGGAAAGGAGAAGGCATTTAAAGAGTATGTAAACCTAATATTCTTGATATGTGTCTGCTGTACAATGTACATGTTTGAAAATGTATCCTGTCCTCTTTGTATTGCTTCCTTTGTGTGAAATCCCTGGTGTATTTATGTTATTTTGTTTTTATATCTACACAAACATTTGTTGCCTTTCATTTCCATTTTAAACTGAAAAGGTTGTTTTACAAGGTGAAGGTTTACATACACTTTAAGGCTCCATGCACACTAGAGGTTCTTTTTTTATGCTCAAAAAAACGCTGGAAAAAAACCCACTGGTAATAGAGTTTTTTAGTAGCATTTAGGAGTGTTAGCGTTTTTACAGTACATGTAGAGGAAAAAATAAAAAAGCTGGAAAAAAAAGCTGTTAGGAGCTCTTTAGCAGCTTTTTTTTCTGCTGGTAAAACGCTCCAAAAGACTCCACAAAAACAATTTTCTTTCTGCTCCTAGAAAAGCTCAAAAAGCCGCTAACAGCCTAAAATAGTTTGCAGAAGCAGAGAAAAATGCCAATAATAGTTTCTAAGACCTTCAAAAAATAAAAACCATAGTGTGCATGGAGCCTAAATGTGTTGTTGGTTCAGTGCTGGTTTTGTTTAGTATTACATATACAGTATGTGATGCAGTGTCTTCATTAAAGTGATTCTAAAGATTACATTACAAAAAAAAAAAAATTAACCCAAACTCACATTGCTCTGTGTCATAGGTTTGCAAAGAGCAGCCACAATCGTTTTCTTTTTGGGTCTCCGCCAAGGTTCCTGGTGCTTCTCCCCCCTGCTGAGTTCCCCCAACAGCAAGCCTCTTGCTATGGGGGCACAAGGGCAGGCTCACTCCTGAGCTGAGCTCCTGTGAATGGACACTCCTGTGTGAGCCAGTTGAGGCTCCTGTGCACAACGCTGGATCGAGATGGGACTCAAGTAAAGGGGGCTGTGGAGGAAGAGGAACCCGGAAGATTTTTTACCTTCATGCATAGAATGCATGACAGTAAAAAAAAATTGTGCCTTTAGAACCACTTTAAGCTCAGGGAATGTTTTTAGTAGAAAAGAATACCACAAGCTTTGAATTGTGGGTCTACACAAGAATCCTAAAATGAGCTGGATGGACATGGTCATGGGTGAAAAGTGCTGCAAAGAGTCAATGAAGCAGTCTGTCAGAATGAATACTGTGGAAACAAAATGCCAATTCTTTGGGCCATATCGAATATAGAATGTACACGGCAGCTGATAAACTCACGTTTAGGAGCTGTTCAGCGTTTTTTCCAGCAGCCCCTGAACTCTCCCTAATGTTTTCCTATGTGTCCATGTACACTATGTCATTTACAGGCAGTTGAGTTTACAGTCGTTTTTTTTTGAACGCAGAAAAATTGCGTTCAGCAGTCGATTTTATCAGCGTTTCAAATGCAAAACGCTTGTAAACGCGGCAAATCACGTTTATGAGTGTTTGCGATTGAAATTTTTTTTTCCTCTTCCAGTTCCCGATGCTGTCCAGAGCCTTTTTTCATCATCCAAAATGCATGCAAAGCATTTTCAAGGTACTCAGATGGACAAAACACTGAACACAGCATGTTCCAACCAAGCTTGTCACACATTGTAATGACCAATTCACACCTCAGATCTCTCCCACCCTTGAAAACAATAGATGTTAATGACCATTCACACCTCAAATTCCTCATGAAGACCCCCTGCCAGGTGGCCTTAATGACTCCCTCCACCAGACACCTTTCCCACCCTTGGAAACAAAAGAAATGTTAATGAGCAACTCACACCTAAGCTAATCTCAACACATACTGCTGTCTCTGCTTCTACTCTCTGTATTTCTCTGAAACAGTCTGAAATAGTTAATAATTTACCACTTTCCAGTGCATTCTGGGCATTTGGGAGGTTCTCCTGTACTTATCTATAAAAAAAGGCTTCTAAATGCAAACACGCATAAACGCGTTAAAACAGACGTTTTTTAACCTACGTTTTCCAGCAGTTTCCATCATTCAGAAGTGTCCCGTGTACATGGGGCCTAATACATTAGACTGGAGAGGAGCTCTGCAAGACTGTGGAAGTTAGCAAGGTAAAGAAAGGGAAGGGCAGAAGGTGGAAGAATGACATCCAGCAAATGCTAGTGGTAACCGGTAAGAGAATCTTCAAAGCTCAAACTATATGAAAATGTCCACAACCTCAAGGCTTGTGCTGCATGCAGAAACAGCATGTGTCCCCCACATCTGAGATGAAACAGACAAGAGGACTGGCAAGAGAAGAGTACTGGAGGTAGACAACAAAAACACACAGTATATGCAGAATGATTACCATGCTCCAGTACTGGAAAGTGTGATAATATCCAAGTGGAAAGGTACCTGTCATACAATACAGAGACCGATATTTGGACCTACTGTATGTACAATAGTATCCAGGCCGTCTCTGAGCTCAATCACTAGTCACAACTTTCAGAACTAAGATAGAATGAACATAGGCAGTGTTTTACACTGGGATGGGTGAAAAAGAAGTAAAAAAAACTTGTTCTGTTCACAAACTGCAACATATTTGGGCTGTGTGCAAATCAGGGTGGATAAAAATCAATGATTTTTTTTTTAAAAATTAAAAAAAAATCGGATTTTTATTTAAATCGGATTTTTTTTATTTAAATCGGATTTTTTTAAATAACATGCTTTTTGAGGAAAATATATTACCATCCAAAGGTTATTCCATCGTGAAATAAAGATTCGTTTTTTAATTATGTAGAATAAGGCTGTATATGTTTAATTTTTTTGGTAAATAAATTCCATGAATCCATTCACAATGTCATGCTCTTCCAGAGGTTTTTGTAAGATTATTGGGCAGTTTCTCTGCCTACAAGATATTATCACAGATGTTGGTTTTACTTTTGCAGTTCTCAAAACTGAATTTGACTCAGAGAGATCACATGCCTCTTCTTCACAGCAAAAATGTTATAACATGAACAGAGTTAAGAAAAAGACCTTCATCCTAACTTCTACAAACCTATGAATACAGAATCAACCCCTTCAGTGCTAAGTTTCAAGAAGTTCAGTGAATAGAATAGAAACAACATTTTTCTGATTGTTGGAGTGGAATAGATCTGCACAAGAAGAAAGTGAAACTAAGTGTGAGGAGGAAGGGGCTGACAGTCTAAGTTTCTTAAAATATATATATTTTGTTTAGCCAAATTAGTTAACAAACATGGATGTTTTTAAGCAAATCACATATGCTGGAATGTTATTGTTTCAGATTGAATAAATCTATTTAAATTGTTATTATTAAGGCAATGATTATTTTTCTCCTTCCTAAGTACAACTGAAAAGTTGTCCAAATATGAATAATTAACCTATTAAACTGGGGATAAAAAAACTAATATGAAAAGTTATTATTCTAAAAATCTTCATCTACTTGTATATTAAAGTTATACCAGCAAGAATTAGTCTTTATGTAGAAAACTAGGATTTAAATCAAGCCTTACTGACTAGTGATTTAAATCGTGATTTAAATCGTGATTTAAATCAGTTTGATTTAAATCAAATCCACCCTGGTGCAAATTAACTGTGTGAAACACTCCCACGTACCAGTATATACTGTATACCATAGTTTGTAGACGTTAGAACTTTCACACAAACTATTTCATATACACTTATTGGGATTTTGTTTTACCAAAGGCATGTAGCAGAATACATTTTGGCCTAAAGTTATGAAGAAATTTGATTTTTGTTTTTATTTTATTGCAAAAGTTTTATAGCAGAAAGTAAAAAATACAGTTTTTTCCAATCTTTTTACATTTATATTAAAAAAAAAAAAAAAAAAAAAAAAAAAAACAGTGGTGATCAAATATCAACAAAAGAAGGCTCTATTTGTGTGAAAACAATGTTATAAATTTCATTTGGGTACAGCGTTGCATGACCGGGCAATTACTAGTTAAAGTAACGCAGTGCTAAATAGCAAACAAATTACCAAAGCTCTTTTGGCTGTACTTCTGTGGATTACAGGAGTGCAGTTTATTCTGAACTCCTGTGACCCGTTTTCAGCCGCCAGCAGGCTGAAGCCGCTGTCAACTGATGTCACTCAGCCGGCCCAGGCTGGGGAAAGAGCCCGACTTCAAAGTCAGGATCCACCCCAGAGTCTGGAGCAGCACTAGGGCCGGTGATAGACTATTTTGTGGCCTAGGCAATACCAGCTACTTGCATCCCCCCCCCCCAAAGAATATAATAAAACTTCACCTATTAGTTCTATTTCACTTTTCCTAGCACACATCTTCTTTCCCCTCATACCCCCCCAATCCCACCTCCAAATTCCTTTTCCCAGCACACACATCCTTTCTTCGCACCAAAATCCCCTATACTAGCACAATTCCCCCCTCCCCCAAATCTCTCTAACACAAATTCTCCCCCAATTACCCCTCCAAGCACACCCACCCAACCCCCCCTCCTAGCACAAATCCCCCCCCCCAATCCTCCCCTCTAGCACAACCCTCCTCCCCAATCCCCTCTCCTAGCACAAATTCCACAATCCTCCCTCTTAGCACAAATCCCCCCCAATCCTCTTTTCTAACACAAATCCCCTCTCCTAGCACAAATTCCGCCCCCCCCCCCCCCAATCCCCCTCATAGAACATATCCCCCACCCATCATCACTCCTCTTCCTTAAATCCCCTCACCTAGGACAAATTTCCCAAATCCCTACTCTAGTTAAACCCCCCAAATTTCCCAGCATAAAATCCACCTTACTGAAATCCCCCCAAAGCCCACCCAGCACCCCCCTAGATGGCCATGGGGTAGAGCAGGGAAACCAGCGGCTGTGGCTGCATCCCTAGGTGGCAGTGCACCCTAAGCAGCTGCCTAGTTTGCCTAGTGATAGCACCAGCCCTGAGCAGCACCTGACTCAGCCTCTTAGCAAGCCGGTGAGAGCCTGAGCTAACCGCTCCCCCTCTCCTCCACAGCCCAGCGCTCCAATGAGCGCGGGGGTGGGGGGCTGAGCAGATAGTGGTGCCTGACAGTCCCCGCTCTCTGCTCAGAGTGTCTGTGAGAACTCATCGATCAGCGGTCATGCGGCCCCTGAGTTCTCACACTTAGAGCCAGTGGGGGACATATGCAACATTGGACCGATGCTGCATCCACCTAGGCAAGTATAAATGGGGGGGGGGGGGGGGGATCCACACTTCTCTTTTAAGGGGGTAAACCGTTCTGAAACTCAAGTGGATATACATGCATTGCTGTAAGCTCAAAGAAGCTGCACTATAGCTGTTAGGGCGATTTTAGCAGTCATGGTGTTCCATACACCCAGGGATTATTATTATTATACAGTATTTATAAAGCGCCAATAGTTCGCTCAGCGCTGTACATTACAATGGGGGGCAGAACAACAACAATACAATGCAAAACATGAGGGGATCAAGGGCCCTGCTCTTTCGAGCTTACAATCTAGGAGGGAGGGGATGGTGGCACAGGAGGAGATAGCTGTGGGGGATGGAGTGGTAGGAAGAGTGGAGGAGGACGGCAAGTTAGCAGGGGGTGGGGTAGGCTTCCCTGAAGAGATGGGTTTTCAGGGTGCGCCTAAAGGAGAGGAGAGTAGGTGATAATCTGATGGGTTGGGGCAGGGAGTTCCAGAGGACGGGCGACACCCTGGAGAAGTCCTGGAGGCGGGCATGGGAGGAGGAGACCAGGGAACTAGAGAGAAGGAGGTCTTGTGAGGAGCGGAGTGTGCGTGCTGGGCGGTACTTGGATATTAGGTCAGTGATGTAGTTCGGGGCAGTATGGTGGACAGCTTTGTACGTCAGTGTTAGGATTTTGAATTTGATCCGTTGCGCAATCGGAAGCCAGTGGAGGGATTGGCAGAGGGGGGTTGGCGGAGACGGAGCGGTTGGAAAGGTGAATGAGTCTGGCCGCCGTATTCAGGATCGACTGAAGCGGGGATAGCCAGCGACGAGGCAGGCCAGTGAGGAGGGAGTTGCAGTAGTCGAGTCGTGATATGATGAGGGAGTGGATGAGCTGTTTAGTGGTTTCTGGAGTTAGGAACGCGTGTATTTTGGCGATGTTGCAGAGGTGGAGTCTGCACGAGTTTGTTAAAGATTGGACTTGGGGTTGAAAGGATAGGTTGGAGTCCAGAATAACACCAAGTACTCTGGCCTGCAGGGCGGGTTTGATGGTAGCGTTGTTGGATGTGACGGAGAGAAGTCAATGGGGGGTGGTGTCCGGGCTGGGGGCGAAGACAAGAAACTCGGTTTTGGAGAGGTTCAATTTAAGGAAGTGGAGTGACATCCAGTCTGATATGTCGCTCAGTAGGTGTGTGATTTTTGATACACATATACAGAGGTCACCCAAAGCAGCCAGTAAAATTAAAAAATATGGACAGAGTCGGAAAGTAAAGCAACCTAAAGAAGAACACAAATCGGTAAACGAGATAAATGTATTTAGCAGAAAAAAAAAGATCCATAATGAATAAGCTACAGGTAGATGATGATATAAAGGACCACTAAACATTAACATGATTATATTCAGATACACAAGAAAGCTTCAATGGAAATATAGGTTTCCTTTAAATGAAAAGGATTATAAAGTGCTGTCATTAAATAGTAACAAGCACATGAGAGGTAGGACTGGTAATGCATGTTCACTAAAAGAAGCGAACAACTTGTTCTTGTAAGTAATAAATGGGTTTCTATGAAGAATAATAGATGGAAATCTTCTGTCAAGGAAAAAACCCGTGGGAGATTCATTAGACAAGTGTCAGAGATATTCTCATTCATCTGAATGTTGAAGCAGATTTATTTAAAGACCAAACAGACACTACTAATGGGAGAGCAGCTTCTTTCAAACTGCGTCACACATGGAGAAGACACATGTATTCCATGCTCTAATCTAGGTCCAGCTTGGACATGCTGTGCTCTACAGATGTTTTATAGACATGGTTATCTATTAGAACATGTTAAGGCAATCTGAGCCTTCCTGGGGACCTTGAACTACATATTCCGGCATACTGTGCCAGCTTGATTTGCAGATTGTAAAGCCAGACACTGACTTAAAAGATAGGTGTGGATGTCAGTAGTAGTTCCCCATTGAAACAAGGCATAGTGAATTACGTTCTTTGAAAGGAAGATGTTGTACCATAGCTTTTTTTAATGCTACTGCAACATTCTCCCTCACCCTTTTGCCTGCAATCAGCAGAGAATTGGGTGTTTGTGGCAAATCTCTATGGGAACTGAATGCTTGTGGATACTCCCCATGCAGTGTCTCCATAAGCCCTAATGGAGAAGCCGTCTACATGAAGAAACCCCTGCGCACTGCATTGTACACTGCACTCTGCCAGCTCATTGAATACTGGAGATGCCCAAAGTGACACAGGCCACATATGGGGGAACAGGTAAGTAACAGGATCTTTGTCTATAAGATGGGAAAGTCAAGAGTAGCAGCCTGTACTTACAGTCAGGTCCATAAATATTGGGACATCGACACAATTCTAACATTTTTGGCTCTATACACCACCACAATGGATTTGAAAAGAAACGAACAAGATGTGCTTTAACTGCAGACTGTCAGCTTTAATTTACATCCAAATCAGGTGAACGGTGTAGGAATTACAACAGTTTGCATATGTGCCTCCCACTTGTTAAGGGACCAAAAGTAATGTGACAATTGGCTTCTCAGCTGTTCCATGGCCAGGTGTGTTATTCCCTCATTATCCCAATTACAATGAGCAGATAAAAGGTCCAGAGTTCATTTCAAGTGTGCTATTTGCATTTGGAATCTGTTGCTGGCAACTCTCAAGATGAGATCCAAAGAGCTGTCACTATCAGTGAAGCAAGCCATCATTAGGCTGAAAAAACAAAACAAACCCATCAGAGAGATAGCAAAAACATTAGGTGTGGCCAAAACAACTGTTTGGAACATTCTTAAAAAGAAGGAACGCACCGGTGAGCTCAGCAACACCAAAAGACCCAGAAGACCACGGAAAACAACTGTGGTGGATGACCGAAGAATTCTTTCCCTGGTGAAGAAAACACCCTTCACAACAGTTGGCCAGATCAAGAACACTCTCCAGGAGGTAGGTGTATGTGTGTCAAAGTCAACAATCAAGAGAAGACTTCACCAGAGTGAATACAGAGGGTTCACCACAAGATGGAAACCATTGGTGAGCTTCAAAAACAGGAAGGCCAGATTAGAGTTTGCCAAACGACATCTAAAAAAGCCTTCACAGTTCTGGAACAACATCCTATGGACAGATGAGACCAAGATCAACTTGTACCAGAGTGATGGGAAGAGAAGAGTATGGAGAAGGAAAGGAACTGCTCATGATCCTAAGCATACCACCTCATCAGTGAAGCATGGTGGTGGTAGTGTCATGGCGTGGGCATGTATGGCTGCCAATGGAACTGGTTCTCTTGTATTTATTGATGATGTGACTGCTGACAAAAGCAGCAGGATGAATTCTGAAGTGTTTCGGGCAATATTATCTGCTCATATTCAGCCAAATGCTTCACAACTCATTGGAAGCCACTTGACAGTGCAGATGGACAATGACCCAAAGCATACTGCAAAAGCAACCAAAGAGTTTTTTTAAGGGAAAGAAGTGGAATGTTATGCAATGGCCAAGTCAATCACCTGACCTGAATCCGATTGAGCATGCATTTCACTTGCTGAAGACAAAACTGAAGGGAAAATGCCCCAAGAACAAGCAGGAACTGAAGACAGTTGCAGTAGAGGCCTGGCAGAGCATCACCAGGGATGAAACCCAGCGTCTGGCGATGTCTATGCTTTCCAGACTTCAGGCTGTAATTGACTGCAAAAGATTTGCAACCAAGTATTAAAAAGTGAAAGTTTGATTTATGATTATTATTCTGTCCCATTACTTTTGGTCCCTTAACAAGTGGGAGGCACATATGCAAACTGTTGTAATTCCTACACTGTTCACCTAATTTGGATGTAAATACCCTCAAATTAAAGCTGACATTCTGCAGTTAAAGCACATCTTGTTCGTTTCATTTCAAATCCATTGTGGTGGTGTATAACCATAAATGTTAGAATTGTGTCGATGTCCCAATATTTATGGACCTGACTGTATTTATGTATAAAGGACTCATGTACACTGCAGCTGATAAACTGACGTTCAGGAGCTGTTCAGCGGTTTTTTTTCAGCAGCCTCTGAACTCTCCCTAATGTTTTTCCTATGTGTCCATGTACAGCATGTCGTTTACAGTTCTTTACAGGCAGTTGAGTTTACAGTCGTTTTTTTTGAACGCACCAAACTTGTGTTCAGGAGTAGATTTTATCAGCGTTTCAAACGCCAAACTTTGTAAACGCGGCGTTACCCATCAGTGGTTCATATAGTGAACTCAGTGTAGAGCTATTCACCCTGAGGTCATCACAGAGGACAAGGGGGCACGCTTTACTTCTGGAGGAAAAGAAATTTAATCTCCAAACACAGAAAGGTTTCTTCACAGTGAGAGCTGTGAAAATGTGGAATAGACTTCCTCAAGAGTTGGTTCTGGCCAGCTCAGTGGGTTGCTTCAAAAAAGTCCTGGATTCTTTCTTAGATACACAGAATATAACTGGATACTAACATTTATAGGTAAAGTTGATCCAGGGAATATCCAATTGCCTCTCGGGGGATCAGGAAGGAATTTTTTTCCCAGCAGGAGCAAATTGGATCATGCTTTGCTGGGTTTTTTTTTTGCCTTCCTCTGGATCAACTGTGGGTATAGAATTATAACTTTTTTTTTTCTATGGTTGAACTGGATGGACTTTTGTCTTTCTTCAGCCAGACTAAAAATGTAACTATATATAAGCGTTTACGTTTTGAAGCGTTTTTTAACTGTTCCATATCCGCATGCTGTCCAGAGCCTTTTTTCATCATCAGAAATGCAAGCAAAGCGTTTTTTTTCTATGTATTTAAATGGACCCGGTACACCAGCGCAGTCAGTTCCAGGTTTCGCGTGAAGGAAAAAATGGTAAAACGTGCCGCATTATGCTCATGATGGGATCCATAGTGAATACAACCAGAAAAGACAGGTCATCTCAACACATCATAAAAACAGTGCAGCGCTCTAAGAAATTAAATAATAATAAATCAATAGCATAAATAAAATTAGTATATTAATAGTGCCAAAACACATATAAAAAATTAGTGCCAAAACCATAACCATATAAATGGTGTGTACACAATTAATAATAATAAATCACACTCCAAAAATACCATCCAATATAAGAAAACTTAGCAGTGCTCACATAGTGCCACAAAAAAATGAACATGAAATAAACGCATCCAAAGCAAATGTCCTTTTAGTGAAAAATGACATAAATCTTAGCAGTGCTCACATAGTGCCACAAAAAAAAAAATATATACATAAATAAATGCATCCAGACCAATGTCCTTTTAGTGCAAAATGACATAAATCATGCGACGTGCAATAGTGATATTGAATGTAACACGTGACTGTGCCAAACTCCTCCTCGTTAGCGGCTAAATTGCCTCCTCACCTCCTCCTACTGACCCCTAGGGGCCAACAGGCTTGCAGGATCACCCTGGATCCTTAATAGATCATAGCCAGCAGCTTCCTTCCTTCCCTGGATCTCCTTAGAGGGGCTCCTATTTCCCCTATTCAGTCAGGGCGGTCCTGAAGAGTAATAGCTCACAATCCAGTGAGCCACAAAAAAAGCCTCTAAGTGCAGTATTCGATTAACTTGGTTTTATTTTAAAGAGTAAAAAAGGTTTCACTCACATTACAGACAATCTCCCTCCTCGCTGATGTGTGGGTGTACTGCATGTGGCTGGGACCTCTTGGGTGTAGCAAAATGGCGTCTCCCGCCGGAAATGCGTCACCACGCACCGGGAACTACGAACTCGCGTACCTACGCGTTACGTCACCGTCTACTCGTTGACTTCATCTGGGTATCGCACTACGAGTGCAGTTCCTCCCTTTATACTGGACCTAATATGATGGCTTAACTAGAGGCCCACCTCCCATGTATTTCGGCCGTGTCCGCGCCATTTTCTCGGCTACGTCTCCCATTCATAATGGCGGCCATTTTCCTGACTCCCTCCTGTCATTCAATCAGCCGCAAATGCCGTATAGAGTGAATAGGAAATCTCCTATTCTGAATGGACACCGCACCGTAAAAAACGAACTAAGTCAAAAATTCTAACCCACTCCCAAAGTAAACCATAATTTTTAGGGGACTGCATTGTGTAAATCAATGAATTCCCCTAACATATATGCATAAAAACAAATTAATAAACTATACTTTAATATAGAAATAAAAAGATGTATAGACACACCGTCTACAAATCTGGGGGATACACTAAGGGGACAGCCATGTATTGTAAATAGAAGAATATAAAAACAATAAATGAATAAATAACCTGATTCCCTACCTCATGTAATCTACCCACACATTTACACATTAAAATATTTCAAAAATAAAACTGCAAAAGATTTACTTTATAAATATAATCCTACATATTTCATAATCAATACAGTATATGGACATAATAAGAAAAATGGTAAAAACACCTCTACCATCTCTTGAATACAGATAAATTCATACTTAAATCTAAAAAAAATAATAGATCTATAAAATTTAATAGAAAGAATTAATAATACCTCAAATAATACTTCTAATAATAAATATTGATTAAATCTATTAAAATTGGATAAAAATAATGACCCTTCCAATATACACTCTCTACTATGCCTAAATGAGCAACAAATTAAAATTAATATGTAAAAGGAGTAAATAAAGCATCTCCTAGTAATCACTGATGAAGCTATTTAAGTCGAACTCAACATTTAAACCCTTTGGGAACTAGCGTATTCATAAAATAGATCCACCTCGACTCGGCCTGGCTAAGGGATTTAATTTTATTAGTCCCCCTCCAGTGTTTCCTAAACTTCTCAATCCCCCAAAATTTCATTTTACTGGGATCTTTATTATGATATAATGCAAAAATGTCTGGAAACATTGTGTTTTTGTTGGAAAACCTTTAATAATATTCTGGACATGCTCCCTTAGCCTTTTTAACAGTGGTCTCTTTGTCCTGCCTATGTATTGGAGCCCACATTCACACTCCAAACAGTATACAACTCCCTCCGTTTTGCAGGATATAAAATCATTGATCCGAATATTCCTGGCCAGTATGGTAGCAATAAAACATTTCCCCGTCTTATTTAGTTGTTTGGTAGCCAAACATGCGAAACAATTTCTGCATGGAAAAAAAACCTCTCTCATTCAAGAAAGTGATATGATTTTGTTTCGGAATATCTAGTACATTTTTTAACCACCTTTGACCTAACCGTAGGAGCCCTTCTATAAATAAATCTAGGGGAATCAGGTAATAATTTCCCTATAACCGGATCCAACTTAAGGATGTCCCAATGTTTTTTTAAAAATATTTTCTAATTTAATCTTTTTAAAATGTACATTAAAATCTAAAATGACCGCAGTTTGAGCATCAAACCCATTTGACATCCACTCTGATTGGGTTTAAGGAAAATATTTCTATCCATAATGCCAAACTTCCTTTTTTTTTTCCGTCTATTTCTTCTACCGGATAACCTTTTTCAACAAATCTTGAACCTAGTTAAGCCCGCTTGCTCATAGTAAATCCTGTTCATAGGTACAGTTTCCTTCTCATTCTAACGAACTGTCCTTTCGGGATATTAAATATCCACGGCGGGTAGTGACAACTCCCCCTAGGATATACCCATTGCGGTCAACCTTTTTAAAAAAAAGTTTTGGTTACGATATCTCCATTGGTAATCTAAATGTTCAATCATATCTAAAAAATTAATCTCAACACATACTGCTCTCTCTGCTTCTGCTCTCTCTATTTCTCTCAAAATGTCTGAAATAGTTATTTTTTACTATTTTTCAGTGCATTCTGGGCAGTTTGGAAGGTCTCCTGAGGTTATCTTTAAAAAATGCTTCTAAACGCAAGCTCTCATAAATGCGCATAAACGCGGTATTCAAACACGGCTAAACAGACGGTTTTTTAAACTACGTTTTCCGTCCAGCAGTTTTCCATCCATCGTTCAGAAGTGTTTTCCAAATGTCCCGTTTACATGGAGCCTAACACTGTAAGGTAGCTATCAGATGATAAACGCAGTGTAAACATTTTATCATTGTGATGATGCACTTTCATTATCCATTTCAGAGACTGGGAGCGGCTTGAGCACCAGATTTTATTTTTACCACAGTGGAGAAAAGATAAAGGTCCAGCCCAAAGACCCGTATACACGACCAAATGTCGGACAAATAATCAAAATGAAGAGGTTACTAAATTTACAAAAATTCTTTAAAACGACGTACATATGAATAAAAAAATCTGAAGAATGGACGATTACTGTACTGGTTAAAAATGAAAACCGTATGTTCCGGTATCATAATTATCGACAACAATTTTCATGCTTGTCCCTTCTGGGTTTTTTCTGGATAGTAGCTATGTACTAATGATCAGATTATCGTACGATTGCTTTAAAAAGCGGCATTTTTCATATGATATGTATGGCCATGTACACACAATGAGAATATCAACAAATTATTGTACGTGGGTTTTTTGCATTCTAGTCTCATATCGAAAGTGAAGAGGTTACTAAAGTTATAGAAATTCTTGTATGACAGAATAAAATTTTGAACGCGATGTAATGCATTGTATTGTATTTTCAGACGAAAACTGTACTGGTTAAAAAACGAAAAATCGTACGATCTGGTATCTTAAGAGAAAAAATTTTTATGCTTGTCCCCTCGATTATTGTACGATCTCTTCGGAAACTGTATTTTTCGTACGATTTTCTGATAGTGTGTACTAGGCTTAACTATGCTGTATGGCTGTACCAAACTAGCTGAATGAAGAATTAGAAGTATTTTTAGCAAGTAATCGACAAATATACAAAAATATAAAAAAAAAAAAAAAATGGGTTTATTTTGACTTGCATGTAAATTTCATGTCTTAGAATTCAGTAAGGACTTAATTCATTGACCATAGGTAAAATCAGCCGGTTCAGCAAAGACCGGCTGAATTTCAATCATTTCAACAAAACATTGTGCACACATTAAAACATTAAAGTGAGAGTTTGAAGTGCACACAATTATAGAACACGTAGCATAGCTGTACACAAAAACCTTTTGAGTAATCAGCTCAATCTGGTCAAAATGAATGTTTTGAAAACAGACTAAATTATCGATTTTTTTAAATACATTAGCAGCAGTAATGTCTCCAAGAGAGTGTTACAGGTTCACTGAGTGATTTCATTTGTTGCCTGGGGATTGTTATCAAATGCAAACTTGCATATGCATGAATCACCAATAATTTGTTTGTGAAAAATGTATGTATGTATATAAAACACACACATATATATAAATATATAATATATATATATACACTATATATATATATACACATACATAAATACACACAACACACACAACAACACACACACACACACACACACACACACACACACACACACATATATATATATATATATATATATTTACATATATATATAATTTTTTACATTATACACACACACACACACAAAAATATATATACACATACATGCATACATACATATACACACACACACACACACACACACACACACACACACACACACACAAACATATAATATATATACACACAATACACACACACACACATATATATATATATATAACATACACACAAATATAACATATACACACACAAACACACACACACACACACACACACATATATTGGCTTTTTGTTTCTCCACTTTTTTTGTGCCATACCAATACAAACAAAAGAAATAAACATGAGAATGCCTAAACATTTGTAACAGCAACAATTTTCTGGGTGAAGTGATGCATTACCTGACAGAAATGCAGGGGGTGCCAATATTTTTGGCCATGACTGTATATACACATACATGCAAAATATATATTTATATTATACAGTATCTATATACACACA